CAAGAAATGGTAAATGTACAACTTTGAAACATCCGCAAATGTGTTCGTACGGCGGTAATCAATCATAGAACCTTCAATGTGGCACTTAATTTCAGTTAATGAAAAGCGGCGTATGGTCCACGTGTCAAAGAATACGTGCACCCTAAACGAGAAACAATGGGCGGAACTAGATAAAAAAATGAGACGAAATGTCATGAAGCCTGCACATCACAGATAGAGTGTTAAATTAAAAAAAAACATTTTGCAGATATTTAAAAAATATTCATGCAAAATTTCCGAGAACAAAAATATCTAATGAGCATTATTAAGCACTCAGAAAGGTTTTGGTGAAATATGTTACGTAATTCGGCACCGAGCATTTCGCACAGTTTCACCAATTACAAGAGAAAAGTCATTAAAAATGATAAGATATTGCGACATTTCCTGCTTAAGGTATGAGCCCCTAATGGGCAATATAAAGAACTATAATATTAACAACATATGTCAGTTATATACCTTAAAAGACACAAGAATGCTAAATTTAAACAAAGTTTACCGTATGGTTTACGAGTTATGGAAATTTTTCTTAAGTAAAAATTGGCTATAAGAAGGGCTCATTTTCAGAAGTGAGAAACTCTCAATATTCTATTTTATAATCATTATGAAAAGAAAAATGTTTTCCTATCAAACATTTTTAAGAAATAAAAAAATATTATTCAGCTAACAAATGACCCGACAAAATTATTGTTTCTACTCAAAATGTTTGAAATATGTATATAAATGTTACCCTACCCCACCGATTTTAAGTAGTTGTATGACCATTTTTTTCTACTTGGAGCCCCTTATTCAAAATATCCCTAAAATTTACTCAAATCAGGGGCTTTTTTCAAAGTTTGCAAAATTTTTGTAAACGTATATTGGTTGCGCTTGTCAAATATAAAATATTTTTACCGTCTAAATTTTGTTTTATTAGACTTTGAAAATATCAGGTACCATATTTAATGTGTATTTGATAATACATTTGGCACAATTTAGCCAATACATAACAATAATAATTTTATGATTAAAATGAAACACTTTTTTCTTCGCAAGAGAGACACAAATTATCTTCAAAGGAAAAGAGAAAGAAAAAAAAAAGTTGCTTCTTCTGGGGCTAAACCCCGTGCATCTCAGTTACAGTGCAGTTGACAGTAGTTCTAGCCTATTTCAATACTCTTCAAAGTGATGCATAAGGTGCACAATTATTTAATAGCACTGGTCAACCTAAAGCATAGATACGAGTGTTGTTTTGCAATCTTGAATCGCATCTAGTTAAAAAAGTTTTGATTTATATTCTAAAAGTTATATTGAAATACAAAAAGAAGCTTAAGTGATTGTATCAGACCTACCCTGATCTTGATCTAGAGCACTCAACAAAAAAGTCCCTAAAGTTGACTGAAATCGTAATTGGTATAGTATACTCACTTTACGTCCTGTTTAAAAGTATAAAGCATTTATATCAGTTCTTTATTCATAAAGTCAGTCATCACTATCATAGTAGCAACAATGTTTGGATATTTGTCATTGTCAGCAGTTGTTTTTGTTATTTTTTTCGTGCTATTCACAAGCGATTGAAGACGAGCCAATATTTTCTAAATTTAAGTATGACAAACAAATGTTAGAGACAATGGTAAGAATGGAAGCAAAAATGGACCAGTGGGATAAAGAAAGAAAAACATTTGAAGAGAGTGTGTTATCTATCTTAGAACATCGTAGAGTGGAAATGCAAGATAAATTTTAAAACAAGATGAAAAGCTGAAAATAATGTTTGAAGACTACAAAGGCATCACTGACGACCGAAAAAACAGGACATTGCAACTCGAAAATATAGCTGGTAAGATGATTACCTTAAGTTCTTATCTTTTAAATGCCGAATTAGTTCTTTTTTTCTTCGGGCCTGGTATTTTTTTTTTGTTACTTTTTCTTTTAGCAAATGGGACGAGAGTCAAAAACTGTTGTGTACATCATTTCTGTGGTGTCGTAAACTATCCAATAACTTCTTGTTTGTTTTAGTTCTACGTCATTAAATATGGTCAAATAACAATTGTTGTCAGGCTTTTGTTGATTTTCACTGATTTGTAACATCGATGACATCTTGTACCAGTAACCAGTATGTTGAATCGTCATAGTCGCATTAAATCGACCATGAATTATCTTTAATTAAGATTTTGTCACTTTTTAGCCACTGATCCTGTCTAGAACTTCTTTTCCATGAAATCTTCAGCATTGAAGCTGTAATTTACAAAAAACTGACTTTGGGTTTTCCTTCGGTCCTTGTATCCATTTTACCTATAGCAAGTTTACTCTTTGTCCTCCAATGGATGTTTTGTGACCCGGACACTGTTTATTTTCATTGGCACAGCAATGTACGACTGTGATTTTCTGGCCAGTGATATAAGAAAAACACAACTGAATAATACATAATTATACAGGCGTTATTATCTTTGCCCCTTCAACAGTCAAATTGTCACTCCATCTGTGAGTGACCCGTTACAAGAAATTTGTGGATGATCAATCTTAAATTTGTAACTTGTGAATTTATAAAAGAAAAGGACGCAGCAACGAATCAATTTCTGTTTTGTCCCCCGCATGAATCTAAAAAAAACATCACTTATTAGACATTACCTCGCTGGCAAATAGAAAAGGATTTTTTATTAAGCAGGAAGCTATTTAACGTGCCCCTCTTTGCAGGTGGTAGCAACAGAGATTCCTTGAATAGTAAAGCTCACTCACTAATGAGCAAGGGGTTGTTACGATGGCACTGAGATCAAAACATGCATCATAAACACATGTGTCACATTTTGCTCGAGCTTTATTTTCAGCCTTTTCTTCGTGTGCATTTTCCTTCTGTTTTTGGATGTTCAATATATGTTTCATTGACCGTGCCATCTAGTGTGCCTACTGCCTTCTTCTATTGTACAGAGTACATAATGAACATTGGTCTTTCTTTTGTTTGTTATATATTCGATGTCCTTATAAATATCCTGATTGTGTATTCATAAAAAGCTAAAAGGTACCAAACAAATAATTTGTTATATAAATCTTTAGGGTTGTTAATTCTTTTTGAGCAGAAAGCGACCACGTGACACATAGTTCCTTTTGCCGTAAAAAGTGCTAAAAACTTATATATTCATTCAATGTAAAAAGGTACTATGTGACACTTGGTACCTTGCTCAAACTGGTATGCATATGGTACACTTTTGCATTACTAATTGGAAAAATATTTACATTGTACCTATTTACATAAACTTTTATGTCTGTAAATAAATATGATTTTACAGAGATATTTCTACAGATTAAAAATAACATTTAAACATAATAAAAAATGTTAAAAAGTCATTTTTAGCCAACATGTTCATTGGTGTCTTATTGATTTAATGGGGTGATATTATGTTTCAATAACTTTGAGTTACTTTTTGCAATTAAAATAACTACAATGTATTCTGGAAGAAAACATATTGAGCAATGTATCTGAAGTTTCGCACACAAACTTTTGGGCTCAATCTACAAAATTATTTTAAGTGTCGCCATGTCGTGTTAAAAATCCTCAGTTAAGTCCCTTTAAGAAAAACACTTTTTGTTAAAACACATATTTTAAGATGAATAAAAGAAAAAAAGAAAACGAAAAAGGGACTTTTACATGCAAACATTCAATATACTAGTTGTAATCTCATCAGATATGTCTTCGGTTCGGAAATGAGCAAAAGTATCGAGCAGAATCGAGCTTTGTTAAAATAGTAATATAAATATATCATTCAGGATCAATTTAAGAAATCATATGTTCCAGTTTGATTTAATTAAACCTTAAACGTACCTTTATCCTTATCCTTTGGGAGAAAAACCTGTTTTTTGCACTCTGAATATCGTATTTCATTGTGTCTTGATGTTGATAATTTGGTCCATATTCATTCAAATCATGTTAAGGTCAATGGTGATAGATCGTATCCGAGACCTTTGGGTATCTATGCTCTGCCCAACCTTTCTTGGGTAGCAACATCGTGGTTGCACATTGTGACATTGTGTTGACCGTTTGTGCCAAGTTCTTTTGACAGCCCATGTAATAACCATCATGCAATAAGGCGGACCTGTTTCAACGTTGATGGTTTCACTATTCCTACTTGCATACCGTATAATCACCCTTAGGATATGATGCCTGATTTTTAATTTCATCTTTTGACATCTTATCTGTGAAATTCAGGCTTCTTAACCTCTGATCCCCTATCAAAAATTACATTTATTTTAGTTTTTTTTCCAATTGTTTTCTCGTTTAGGACACACGCTTACTTTTATTTGGAGACCATACACCATTTTCCATGGCATAGCATGAATCTCCTATTAAAGGTTCATTGCTGGCTGCTGTGGATGTAACTACATTCAAAATTTCACCATTTCTTATTTTAATGTTGAATTGTGGTCAAGTCAGTGCTGGGGGCATGGAGGTAACTTTCACTTTACAGTACAGTCCATAACTCAATCAAAACGAGCATGCAACATGTCAATTTTGTTTTGGACGTTCTTTAGGGTTTCCTTTTTGTATTTGTAACATTTGACATTTCAGTATGGCCTTTGTGTTAAGAATTGTGACCTGCTTGTTTGTCTCTAGACGATTTTGCATGATCGTATATCATATGTTTATCTGTTGAACGTTTAAATGGTGAACGGATATACAATATGGATCTTTTATATATATTGAAATTTTAAGTGTGACATAGACCATGATGGTAGTAACATGGTTTTTGCTATCTACTTTGTGTGTCATAATTTTTTTCATATATATTTTTATTAGTCTTCAAGCGCCGTGAAAATATTGAGCGGACATGAACATGAGAACAACCAAACGGACAGTCAGAAGGAAAGACGGTGTCCATTTTATTATACGTAACCCGATTTATAACAATAGGTAAAAATATACTCCAATTATACCATTCATGACTAATTAATGACGTAATCAAACAAGTAGAGTGTATTGCTGAAGAACACAGTTGCTGTAAAATACTTTATTAGCATAGAAAAAGTAAAGCAAAGCAACACACTGAATTATATAAACAAAATGTATAAAATTATACTTAGTTTTAATTTAACTTTGTAACCAACTTATTAATAAGTCGTTCAATTCTAATTCTGAAAGGAAACAACATATAAACAACGTACGTGCAGTATAGAAATAAGAAATGTAAAATATTATTTGAATCAGTCGATTTTTTATTTGTAATCAATAATTGTAAATTGTTAGATTTTTGTCGAAATTCATTCCTATGTTTACTTTCAAACATTTATAAGAACACCAGTGAAGGATGGCCATCTGTACTGTGAATCAGCAAGCAAGATGCTTTCTGTGTATGTACTCTTAACATACACTCGTTCACCTGTTTCCATTTTTACTGGAACCATTGCCGAATTACAGCTACTTGCTTCGTTTTCGTATCCTGTTGTAATTGCTACTGTATTGTCTTCATGAACAATAGCTGCGACCATATACTTTGCTTGTGCATGGCATACGTGAATGCTGAAATGGTATATCCCAGCCACAGGTGCTGTGAAGATCCCAGTGCTTTGGTCATATCCGCCACCTTCATTAAGTAATACTACAGGAAATATGATAGACTGGCCGACGCCGTAACTTCCTCCAGTACTGGAATATGCGTTAAACGCTACTTTTGGTGTTGTATTGTTAACTGAAAACAATATGAAAGGAATTATAAGAAAAAGTCAAGCCGGATTATTTTAGTAAGTAAACGGAACTTTGCGTAACATTATTATATTAAATAATTATAATCACATAATGTGTAGATCAAGCATTTATCGTTCTAAAATAAAAGCATAAACAATGGTTATTGCAGAATCAATTGAAATTAAAACAAAGTTAAGTGCTTTCTCACCAGTTATCTTTTCAGATGTTTTTTCTTTCAGTTCTTCACGAATGTTCTTACAGAAATCAAACATTTCATCAAGCTTTTCATTTTGTTTCACGATTTCTCGTTTCATGTCCTGCTTCCTATGTTCCATGACGGACAATATGTTCTCTTCAAAATTTTCCTTTTCTTTACCCCACTGATTCATTTTAGCTTCCATTTTGACCATTGTCTCTAACATTTGCTTATCATACTTGAATTTTGAACATGCCGGTTCTGTGTCGTCTTCACTTGCTGTTGAGTAGGAAAACATAATGACAAAACTAACTAATGCCACAAAATATCCAGCCATTTTTCCTAGTCTGACAAAACTTGTATGATAATATTGTGAAAGCTTGATACTTATATACGGGAGGTGATAATGTAACCTCTGTCAGCATCGATGTTAAGTTCAAACCACGGGAAACATATTATATATAGTTATTGTTTGTGTCAATGTCCAATAATTAAGGCAGCTGCTCATGCTGAATAAGCCAATTTCAAGTACGTAAATCTAAATTAGTTTACGGATTGAGTGTTTTAAGTGCTTGTGAAGTGTTTATCTCCGTTTGCATTTTGATATTATCAATGATAATTTATTAATAAATGAGTCCTTTGCAAATAAAATACTGGATAAACATAAAGTCCAATGATATTTTGGTAAAACGTTATTTTTCATTACCACAAATTGTGACAGTACCTTGCTTTTGTTGATAAATGTTAAAAAATACTTAAATATGTATTTGATCAACATTTTATTCTATCACATTCAGCCCGATGTGATATTTTTATTGTTTTTACAGAGCATCACACGAAATAAAAACGTTGTAAATTAACGTACATTTACCTCCCCATTCAATTTGTGATGGGAAATGATGCTTTTGAGTTGAGGAAAATTGACGGTTTGAGGCATTACATTATAACTACCTCCCCTTAATTGTTTTAGAGGAAACAGTTAATATGACGTTTAAATGCGAACCAAATTGTTTCAGTTATTCGTGTCGAGATATTCACCTGACTTAATTTACAATTATAGTTTGTATTGTTAACAACTGATCTTTAGATTTATCTTTTTTTTTAAGTGTCATCAGCATGAAATGCATTACGCAACTATATACAATTTTAACAAATACGTTGGAAAGTATTTTAGGAAAAATTATATAAGGCACTTACTATTATGGCCTTCTTCCACAAATAACATAATATTGGGCTTCAGATATAAATGTAACCTGAAAAAGTATAAAAAGGACTGCTCAGGTAATAGCCGACGTAAAACATGTATGTTTGTTTTCAATTGAAGCTAAAACATATCACCAAGCAAATTATGTCGCAAAGCTTGCGATGCTGGTATTTACGATTTTTCTTTACTCATGTTGCATTGCTCCTCGTGTACTTCGGGAACTTATTATTTAAACAACCTTGGCATTAATGATATTTGACATAACAATTTAGTTTTTTGGTTGTTCATCGTATCATGCATATTACGTATAATAAACATCACTTAATAGCATGTTTTTATGACCCTCAATATATTAGAAAGTGCAGTTTCTCATGATCATCGAGTTTTTAATGCTTTAATAATTTGTAATATATAAAAGAAGATAGACGTGGCACATTTTTAGAGTACACACGTAAAACTTTTCGCGATATATGGATAGAACGATTTGAATTCGGCAGTCACCCGAATATCGTTATAAGGGAAGTTGACTGTAATTTGATATTCATGCATTACAAAAATTATTCGGGGAATATTACATTAATCACACTGTTCTGCTCCATTAGTATATTCACTAAACAAAGAAGGTCTGAAAATAGTTTCGCGGACGGTCAACATTCGAAATACTATACGAAGGATCCAACTGTGCCTTTATTGTTATTAAGATCTGATGTGTAGTGTAACAAATATTTGTAATTTCAATATTTGTTATGGATCATAAAATGGTTTAACCAAGAACAAAATCTTTCATGAATTTGTAAACTGGTTTAATTGTTAAATAATATATGATTATCTAGTTAGACATCATTTAAGACAGCACGAAAAATGAAACACAGAAAAAACTATTCTGAACATAGTTGACTTTGATTTTTTTTATCTTCATTTTATGCTTTTAATAATCCATCATCTTCATTTTGGCATATAAGAAGCATGCAAAAGCGATGGTAAGACTAAGGGCTTTATTACGATTGCGTGTTTGCGTGACCGTATTTTCAGTGTACCTAAAGTTATATGTAAAAAATTTTCACGTTAAAAATCTTACTGATCGTAGTTGTATGTAAGTATTTCTTTCGCAGAAGATGTTTGTTTTAAGTGATGTTGTTTTTTTTTTCTTTATTCTTTTGGGAGAGATTTTCAGATATATAAACAAAAGAAAATATTTGCAAATCACGCAACATCACCAAAAGGCCAATGAACATGAGCTTAGACGTTGTTATCGGGTAAATATAATCATTTTTCGTCCTGTTTTAAAGTATAAAGCGTCTGTATTATTTTTTCTTTATTCATAATTCACTGTTACTTACAACCTAAGAGAAGGATGGCTTGTAACTATTCATTAGACACTATTGTGTTTCTTACCGTCTTGTGCTACTCAACAGCAAGTGAACCCGATATAGAGCCGGATTGTTTAAAATTCAAATATGACAAACAAATGTTGGAGACAATGGTTAGAATTGAAGCTAAAATGAATCAGTGGGATAAAGAAAAGGAAAACTTTAAAGAGAACATGTTGGAACTTAGGAAGGCGGAAATGAAACGAGAGTTTGCGAAACAAAATGAACAGATTGGTCAAATACTTGATGACTACAAGAAGATCCGTGAAGAACTCAATTACATAACAGCTCAGTTTGAAAAGGTTGCTGGTAAGTAGAACAATGTTGTAGTTTATTGCTACTAATTAATCAAAAGCTTATGTAAATTGATTAATGATAAAACTATTTTTTTTCGACAAAGTTCTGTTTTAGATCAAGCCTTTATCTGGAATAAATATTAACCATTACTAATAAATTTAAGTTTACATAGTCTGAGGATTTCATAGTTAGATTGAGGATATGTAAAAATGAGTAGCTTAATTAATTGTTATCAAATTTTATCAACATGCGATCAACATAGTATCATTTTGAAACAAACTATAAATGTTTTACTTCTAAATTCATAAGAAAAGAAAATTTCTAGCTAAATGTTCAGCCTTGTAATTTGAAACATTTACAAAAAAATACATTTTGAATTCATCAATAATTTTATTCTCCGTTCCGTTTACAAATATTTATAACCATTTAGAAAACACTTTATACAAGAATCATTAACATTGATAATAAAAACAATTTCATAATATTTTTGCTTCAGGTAATTTCACAAAAACACCGAAGATAGCGTTTAATGCATATACAAGGTCCGGTAGAAACTATGACAACGTCCAAACCATCGTTTTCCCTGATGTTTTACTCAACGAAGGTGGTGGATATGACAAAATCACTGGAATGTTCACAGCACCTGTGACTGGTCTGTACTATTTCAGCGTTCACATTTGTCACGAAGCAGCAAAATTTGTGGTCGCAGCTATTGTTCACGGACATACTAGAGTCGCAGTTACAAGTGAATATGAAACATTAAAGGAACTTGTAGCTCGGTCATGGCTCCGGTAAAAATGTCGGTTGGTGAACGCGTGTACGTAAAATGTACACATCCTAGCGTGTTGCGAGCTGATTCACAATATAGGTGGCCGTCCTTCACCGGTGTTCTTTTGAATATCTAAAAAGATGTCGGACTTTTGACATGCTTGACGATATTTCTCTTTTCAGACGAAAATTCAAATTGTTAAGATACATATTAAAGTTTCTTTGTGCTGTTATATAACAGCAACGTACTCTATAAACCTGATAAAGACCACATACCTGGAAACATGTCTAACCCTAAACACACACATTTTATTGTATCATATTGAATTTTTCATTACTCTTTCGTATAAAATATAAATAATTTATGTTCTAATAAGCTTAACGGCTGTTTAAATATTAAATTCTTTTATTGTTTAAAATTAATAACCATTGATTACATTGTCGAGTATTATGAAATGAATGTCAAGTTTAAGGCACATTATGCCTCAGAAACAAATTAATTTTTACATCTTTAGAAAGTGCAAACATCAATGGTATAATGTTTAGATATGTCACATGCTTTTTACCTTACAAAAATAACGATAAATGTGAAATTATTTGTCATTAAAGTTGTAAAATGTAACAAAGTAGCATTCTGACTTCCATACAAACTAGTAATGTACTAAAACTGTACTCATTGCCAAAAAGCAAGAAATGAAAAATATGATTAATGTAATTGGCAAACGAGTAACTTTTTGGATAATATTATAAAACCAATGTTAAAAAGTATTTGAGAATTAAAATTAAATTGGTCTATTAAAATACGTTAGCAGTATGAACCTTACGGCACCTAACACTTTGAGCTAAAACGTTTTATCATCGTACTTTTAATTATATTTTTATGAAATTAACTCATATTTCTACACCAAATAATGTATTGGATAATCCGGTTTAAGATTCTGATTGTAAACTTGTACTTGAGAAGGTGTTTTACTTTTGTATGCATACTTAATTACTTCTCATCTTAAGAATCATTTCAGGCCAGTTGTTCAGCGATGTTACTGATTTGTAAAATGTTGCCACACATGTCATTTGCGTGCTTAAACAATTAACTTGTACTGGCGGATAATTGTTGTAGCTCAACTTTTATAGAAACAAAATACAGGCATGTCAGCGTTGCCGTTGCCAATGCAATTGCCCGTTGCAGTTGCCGTTGCTGTCCGCAAACTTGTACCTTGATCATAACATAAAGTTCTTTGTATTTTGTCTTCATTCTAAGATGCAACAATCCTTGGGATAAGACTCCTTTGTACAGCGGTATAAGCTTTATCTTCATCTGTAATTGACATTGACATTCAATGTCAATTGTCCGTATTTTGCTTGTTGTTTTTTTATTTGCTATAAGTGACTGTGACGAGGTCCAATTAATGAAATTCACTTTATTTTCTACTGTAACTGGCTCTAGCTTTGTTATATATATATATATAGAAATGAGAGAATATATACACACATACCACCACATCGATATGCCAGTCCAATTACGGCACAGCGCCTAGCAGAACAGTCATGAAAGCATAGCCACTGCTATATATTATTTTCAATGATTATCGTTATAAGTGGATGAAACTTAATTGATGTATTAATCAGTAATAAGTCGTTCAGCAAATTCGTGAACCCGTCCTCTACCATGTCAATCGGTGAAAATAAAATATCGTCTGCTTTATCATTTATGACGTCACGATTGTAAATTATGCGCGATGTGAACGTGATGCTCTTTTCCCCCTCTTAAATGATGTTTCTGATCTACTATTTTGCATTTGAATAGGAATATGTTTTGCAATCTATTGGATCGAGAGCAATCCTTGAAAGAGTAGCTTGATAATAGAAATTTTTCGAAATATGTTATTTTCTTGAAATCGACAAAGTTCAATAAAAGTTAATCAATAGTACTTTAAACCTTGACCGGAACAGAAGGTAAACTTGTCAGGTTGATAACAAATGCGGCAGTTAGCTATTAACAATACCATGAACTTGATTGATATAACTCGACTAATCGCTTGACACAATGATCTTTGATCTTTCGTTGTTAACACAAATGGGATATTTGTATATAAAAAGCAATAGCATTTTGATCTAAACATTTATCATTAGTAATCAAATATTCAGCATCAGCAAATCTGCTATCTGATCGTCGGTGATATACTGTTACACTGTTTATTTCATAAACTTGTATATTTATTTATTTATTTTTCTTGTTAAAAGGAAGTCTTCCTTGTTTACATACAAATGATCATTATAGAAATATGTCACTGTAGAAAACAATGCTTTAATGTATATATTTTGTGTTTAACTCTTTAACACTGTCGGAAAAAGATATACAAGGAATAATATAATTAAAGGCCCATTATGCCTTAAAATACTATAAGTTTTATTTCACAAAAGCGTTTAAATGAATGGTATATTATAGATTCAAAGGTAATTTACCATATTGATAGACTATCTTTGCTTCTTTTGCTTTGTTAGCCATTGGTATAATTGTAGTGAATAAGTATTTTGTATGGAAATTATAAAACTACATTGTTGCTACCTTTATGACATATAACTGCACATCCAGCTCTACTTTCTTCTAGCATCATTTTTAAGGCCATGCAATTTAAGTCATATTGAAAACATATTTAGGTGGAGAAAATAACACAGATATTATTTCTAAAATTAAGATACACGTATACTTAAAATCACAAATTAATGTTGCTATAAATAGATTACGCATAATGTTTGAATTTATTTCATTTCATGTGGGTAAAGGTTGCACGTAATGTCTAAATTTATTTCATTTGACTTAAAAAATAAGTCTATGGTAACATAAAAATAAGTATATGGTAACAAAAGACAATTATTTTCCTGTTTACGAGAGAGTTTTGTCCGATAAGTTTTTGACATGTGTTAAAGGTGCTATTTAGTATACAAAATATATCGCTGAAACCGGTTTAAACTTAAGTTGTTTCGAAGTGCCACATTTATATTATGCTGGCATTTTTTAGAGAAGTGTAATTATAACAACTCTAGATTCATATATCAGTGTTTAAGCCTTAAGTGTTATTTTTTTTTTTTGGTGGCGACATGGCCGAGTGGTTAACGCGTCGGACTAGTAATCTAATGATCGCTAGCCGTATGGGTTCAATCCCCGTCAGGGGCAAGTCGTTGTTTCCTTGAGCAAGAAACTTTACACTCATTGCTCAGTACTGGTTGGTTCCAGGAACAGATTCGAAAGTGTGTCTATAAGCTTATAGCTTCCTACACAATCGAACTAAAATAAATTCTGTATAAACCAAGTGTTATTTTTCCAATTGATCAAACCATCGTGTGTGGTAAAATAGCTTTAAGACTATTATTTTATCACTCGAAATCAATATAAGAAATACTTTGAAACAGTGATTATAACATTTAATCTATTCCTTTCTTCTTAACTATATAATAAATTGTGTAATAATGAGATGCGTGCGGTGTCTTAAAAAAAGATATGTTGGATGGTAAATAGATAGATTAAAAGAATAATTCTTTTTGTGTACTGGCAGAGAGCGAATTGTCCCATGAAATTGCAGACCAAGACCAGCCTGCATATCCTAGCAATCCATGGTCTGTACTGTTCGACGTCCGGTCAAAACTCCAATTTTCCTTCAAAACAATAAATGGTAATTTGCATTTACCGTTCATGAACAGGCTTTTAGGCATTTTTTTAGGGATTCTGTTATTCTTTATTTATTTCTTAAGCATAAATATAACATGTTCAACTATTCAACAATATGAAGTATGCTTTCAAACGATGAAATTGGAATTAACAACAGAAAAAAATGTAACTCAACAATTAACTTCCTTAAGAATTATTAAAACCATATTTCTTATCTAAGTTTCAATAAATAAACAGGTTAATTTCAAAATGTGCAGGATAGAGAAGGAAGAAAATGACATCCTATAGCCTTTCAGATGTAAAGCAAAACCAGACATGCTATAGTGATAGCAAAACAAAGAAACAACACAGCACAAAAGAATGATAAAAAATAAAGATAAAAACATCCACGTAATGTTACAAAATTTAAAGAGAAGGCTTAACCATTTGTGAACAATAGTCCTTTATTCTAAATGGTTTTATGTTGTTTTTTTGTAGTTGTTTTAAGTTAAAAATATTTGCGTGTATACAAAATAACATTCTGTTATTTTAAACCCCCTTGTTTCGGCTAAAGAGCAACTAGACATTGAAGACAAACAAAAGAAAAAAAATTGTGACCCAAACAGAAAGGAAAATATAAATAATACTACAATGATATAATCTTAAAGGGACTCCAATGAGTTTTTATCCGTCGGGACTTGAAATACTTTTCCGAAATACGTAGCTCTGGACCAAAAAAGCAGTATAAAATTAAAGATCATTCACTAACTATGTTTCTCCAAAATTACTGCTTTAAAATTAATTGTGAAACATATCGCGGAATTGAAAAGTGTTTCTGTTTTATGTGCTCCAGCTTATTCTTTGACAAATTTTCAACTTTAATTTGTCCTGAGCGGAGTTCCTCCAAGAATAATTACAAATGTAATGTTTTTTTTTGATTACTTACATGTATATTGTGTATACTTACTATGTGTAGCAGCAGATGTTGTCTGCAGTCTGGCGGTTGTAAACGCGCCCCTACCCCCTGCACCCATCCAGCTTTCATCTTAGTTTGTTTTATTTTCTAGTCATAATAGTTCATTGATTTCAATAACTTTAGTTCTGAGGATGCCGATGCTGGGGGTATGAAGGACATTACAGTTTCCCTGATTCTTTAAATAAATCATTCAAATATAGAACAAAACATCATTCCTAAAGAACGTCCGAAAATGGCAGAATTGAAAGCGGTTCAGATTTGTTTCATTGTTCCATACTCGTTATTGGAGAATGCAAGCTACCGTCAACGACCCCTATCACCGGCTTAAACAGAATCCAACATTAAACATGAACTGATAAATTTTGAATTCAGTAACATACGCAGATCTATGTGTTCAAACGGTGGTTTTTCAATGTAAAACGGCCATTCCATGAAAAGCGGGTTATAGTCCGCAAGTAAACAAATGCTTGTGTCCTAAATGGGATAACGAAGGTCAAACATTCATATTTCCCCATGTTCTACCGAATGAGGGCAGTGGATATAATAACTCTCCTGGCTATTTATAGCACAATTATCCGGTCTTTATCTCTTCAGTGCGCATGCATATATTTGCAATTTATTCGGTACTTATATGGCAATCGCAATAGTTCACGACAACAATAAGGCTAGTGCAACGACAACTGACAGGGATGATTACCAACGTAACTGCAGCTCTGTTACTGCAGTTGCTATTGTTAAATCAGGCGAATCCATGTCAGTTAATCAGTTAAGTCTTCTCACTCTTCCAGTTTCATGTTTTCAAGTAGGATAAGACTACCATCTTTCATTGGAGTGTTTTGATTAAAAAAACAAAAAAACTTTTGTTATTTTTCATTATGTTTATGTAATTATAATATCCTGACATTATATCCAGAATTTGTTAACCATGTTATATTATGTTTAATCCAAAATTACTATTTAAGACACATCTCGTAATCCCGCCATCACGTTAGTGTAAAGAATTTAACAAATTGATTTAAAAAAAGGAGTAAAACATGAGTTATAATCAGTTGTTGGCTTTGACGTTGTGTCGGCACTGACTTTGTTGTTTATTGAATAAAATTATTTTAACTCAACATCATAGAATTCCATATATTATTTTGTTATGTTCCTTGGAAATAACTTTCATATTAAAGTATTCTCTTATTTTATTCAATGATATTATTAGTTCAGCGCAAAAAATAAAAAAAATAAGGTTATATCCCCCTACATTTTTGTTTTATTTGTTGTTTTTTTCTATCTAATATTATTTCTTGTGAATCTTTAAGCTGTCATATTTTTAAATCTAATTAATATTTATTACAGCTGTTTTTCATGCATACTCTCTTTTTATACATAAAGATCTGTTGGGTCATAGGACGCCTCACCCGTTCATTATTTAAATTATTTTGTTCTCTTTTTACTACTTTACTCGTTTTATTTTTTGTTGTGAATCTCTAAACAGTCAAACTTTGCAATTGTATTAAGATACCTAAGACAAACAGGTAAGGGTACAATGATTTGGAAAAGTTTATGCATTATCGTATAAAGATTAATAATTTACATAACATTATTCACTCAAAAATTTTAGATAATTTTGTAAATCAATTAATATTGACGAATAAGTAGTATTCAACTGACAGATTTATTACTTCAATTGTACTCCTTTTTTCATCGACAACCTCTTCTTGACTTCTCCCTACATGCAATCTCTTTTCTTTTTTTCTTACATGAAACGTGACGAAAATTATGAATTTATAAACCAAATAAACAAACAGGAAGAAAATATGTGTAACCATATACTTGAACCATTTTATAGACGTGCACACCAATTGAAATAAATCCAGATGTAAATACTATAAGTTAAGCTTTGTTCTTAAGATTTCAGAGAATAAATTGGTTACATATAGGAGAGTTGTACGTTATATAACATGTTTATGTATTTTATCACATTGATACGCTTGAATAGCTCTATTGTACGGTGTTAAAATAGTTTTAAATCATCTACAATTTTCATAAGGCCAGTCTTGACGCCTGTTGTAAAAATTGGTAAAAAATTGACAGAAAAAGAGATTGATATATAAAAGTCCACACAAATCCATGTCATTTGGGTAAAGCAGATGGTAGAGTTTAAATTCCGGTGCCGAACGGCGAAGGGATATTACAGTTCGGTACTACTGGGACAGCTCAATAAATATTATCAAAAATGACACCCTATGCTAGGCTTTAGGCATGTTAGTCTACTTCAACATAATGCTCCACCACATACATATGAGTTTGTACATCTATATTTGAAGATGGAAATGGTTAATGTTTGCCACACACACATACAAATTGGCTAAGCCATCAGTAAGTGCCTCGGAGGTCGTCTAAACAAAATGGATTAATGTATTTCGGACCATGGAGACTATTTTGAAGGGATGCACTGTTCATTTGACTGTTTGTTTGGACTGTTTTTGAGATATCGTATAATGCATATTACACAATCAAACAACCCTTATTGACCCATAATTTTCTTTGAACTTGTGCAAAACGTACCTATTGATCGATTCATTTTAATTTATCTGTATACTATATTAGAAATATCACTGATAAAATATATTGGCAGTAAAATTGAATACAAACAAGTCAATATAGCATTAAGACATCAGTTGCAAACTAAAACAAAGCACATTTAAAATTCATCTGAAATAAGATATGGCCTACTAAAATCGCATGTTCTTAAGTCAATTCCGAACAAAAAATATAATCTATTCAGTACAGTTTTTTGTTTGTTCTGTTTTCTTTTTTTTGTTGTGTCACATGTTTATACGCGTGTTTCGACGCTTTGAGGTCTTGTGACAACTTGATATTTTCATTAGGTTACTAATGTTTAATATCGACCAGCAAATTTATGTTTCTCTTTGTACGGTACATGTTTTGAAGAGCAGTATTTTAAGGGGAAAATCCAAAAGGGCCATTAAAACAGTCCTGCTTTGATTTACGTAGTTCATAAGTGATTTTAGTCACTGCATCATCTCTAAAGTCATATTAAAATCCATCCTGAACATTAAAGTCTAAAAATCTTAAGATCAAGAAAAATGTAACAAATGTAACAATGCAAACAATATGCAAATAATATTTAGCATGGAAAGGTAATTTTATAATTTTATGTAAACTTAAAATATCTTCTCATTTACGCAA